ATGCAGCCTATATGGCTGAATAATACAAATAATAAATATACAGTATGCTAAATACAACTATAAAGAATAATAATACTAATAATAATATAATTAACCTTTTAAGGCCCGTCGGCCATTRTAATAAATATACAAACTCACTGGTGATAGGTCAAGTAGCTGATTTCATCCACGCGACCGTGCCGGGGACATAAAATAATAAATATAAGGTAATACAACCCGCACACGTGCGACTACTTGATCCTATCACAACGCAGACAACTTAGAACCAAACATACACATGACGCCTGCAGTAGCATAAAATGTGACAACGGGAAAAATTGAGAAGATGCCAATAACAAATACGAATGAGCGAATACAACCTATAACGAGGAAATAATTAAATACGAGAAACTAAATTGTCTTTTGAACGATACTCACTAGAGATATGATGATGGGTAAAACAAAAACGTGGTTCATAGCAGGAACAAAACAAAAGAATGACCATTTGACAACATGGAATTTATATAATACGACAAATACGAGAACGGAGAACATGACAATGCAAAGTCAGAAAAGGAAAAGAAACGACAAAAAACGGTGATTTATACGAATGAGACTTAAAATACGAAGAATGCCAGTGTCGCCAACACTGGGAACACAACAACATTAGGTGACAAAACCATTAAATGATAGAATTTATCACACATACACTGGGTGGTCAGCACACGACACCAGACACCATCGTCGACCGCGCTGCAGCGATGATAAGAACAAATATAATAATATAAACGATAAAATTATAGAATTGCCATTTCGGCGCTAACACAGAATTAAGAGTTACGTTCATTCATAAATATTACCAAGTACAGAAAGTTATTCTTCTAATAACGTAGCATTCAAAATTAAATTTTTTGTTGCTATCGTTTTTAATATTTCTATAAAATACAAAATAAAGCAGATTCCATAAAAAAAAAAAGTAAACATCTACAAAACTCTTTGAACATTGATAACAAGAAATATCAATAGTATTTTTGACAATATTAATATTTTATATATTTCCATTAATGGTAGTTGGTAGACAAAACAAAAAGGGTCTATCACATTAGATACAATTTTAAGATAATTTCAAAATTATATATAATTATAATTATTAATGACCATTTTTTAATTAATATTGTTTAATAATATATATTTGTTTACAGAACCAAATAGTAAGTATATTTTATAATTATTGTTATATTTCTACATTCTTCTCTTCTGGAATGATCAAATGACAAATTCAAAATTAATCAGAATAATATACGGCAGTGTTTCCCGACCTTTTTACTACCACGGACCAATTCGACAATATTGTATAGATCGCGGACAACCACCATAAATATAATGAA